AAAAAAAAAAATTATCTGAAATGAAACATAAATATGAGACCCCAGAAGAAGGAGATTTTGCTACTGTAAGTGGTGCCATGCACACCTAGTGATAAAGCTGTAACAAGTTGGGCTTCATGAGAAGGGGGCCTTTTGTCCTCCCCTCAGTTCCTTTGTCCATCCTGCTAGCAACTGCCTCAGGGAGTTAAAAAGTAGATCGAAACCCTGTATCTAGGGTGTAGGTAACATTTAATTTTGTGACTGGGTTGGTGGGTACACAGCTTTGTTCACTTTGTCGTCATTCATGAAGCCAGAACACTTACAATGTGGACTTTTCTGTATTAAATTTACACTTCAATAAAAAATGCTTAATTAAAAAAAATCTTCTAGGTGCCCAATGAGAAAGCCTGAGCATTGAGTTTGCAGACATGAGCATTGAGTTTTCCTAAAGTCATTCACCTGAAGCGAGGCTGAAGAGACGTGGTCTGAGTCAGAGGACCTTAGTACGACTTTCTAGAAAACCCCTGGTAGAGTGGCTTTTTTTAGGGCCTTGGGAGAGATTGTGTGGGATGGTAGTAAAAGCACAATTTTATTTAAAATAAATTTAATAATTAAGAATGGTTCTCCAAGATTCAGAACAGGATAGTGGCTGTATTTACCACTCTCCTGCCTTGTCTGTCCTTATAGTCTTAGCCCTATGTTCATTCAGCCTTTGCAGCCAATGATGTTAGAATCTCCGCCAATCAGGAAAACGCATAGGTTATGTGCAGTCATCTCAGAACCTGAACAATGAGACTTCCAAGGTCAGGGACCATGACTCCTCCAGCTTCTGAAGTCACTTGTCCCCATCCTCACAAAGTGCATGCTGCATATGTGCTGTAGATACCTTGGCAGGACATAAGACCTAGATGCTTCTATCTCCAGCTCAGCGTCACTTCAACTTATGATAAGTCTCTGTCTAATGAGGCCATCAGATTGTGATGCAAACACATCACAGAAGACAACAAATGCCTGTCTATGCCTCTTCTCTATTCAGGAACAAGGCAGGAAGAAGATTTGCGTACCTCTTATGGACTTACATAATTTCCCCATGGTCTAGGGAGTTTCCAAAGCAGCCAGCATTTGTCACTAGGATGGGTAGAGGGGATTGACTGGGCAGGAGGGGGCATCACTGGACAATTTCCAGGGCTTACCATGCACTGCAATATCTTTCGTGTCCTGGATAAGGGCATTCCCCGCTGCCACTTGAACAGTGATGGTGTTGGTTCCCTCTGTGAGGAATGTGAAGGAAATGCTGCTGTCCAACGTGATCAGGGGCTAAAAGAGATTGGAAAGACCAGTTTAATCCACTGTGGGATATAAGATGTCTTCCTTTCCTATAAATCTCAGACTGTCACAATTCTGTACAGCATTTGCATATCCTCAAGGGATCCTAACTTGAAAAAGAAAAAAGAAAATTACACAGCTTCCTAAAACTCTGATTATATCTAGTATCCAGGAAGAGTATTCATACACTATAAAATGTTCATCCTGAGAGATGAAGATAAAACTGGACACCCTGGACTTTGCTTGTCATTCTGTTCCTTTTCCTGGGGGCAAAGTAGAAGCGCCTTTTGTAACCACTTCCCGTTGGCTCTGGAAAGAGGAGATCATTTCAGTTCCCCAGTACTCCATGTCATTTGTATTTTCATCCTCTATTCCACTGGATATAAGACTATTCAGAGGAGTGACCTCATTTTAGTCATTTCTGTATCACCTATCTTGGCATATTGTCTTACATGCAGCAGAATAGATATATAGAATAGGTTGGATACAAGGTCATATTATTGGCTTTTTAATTTATTTTCCATTGCAAGATATTTCTAACATTTTCAATAGGTTAGAAAACATAAAACTACATATTTGTGATAATTTTTTTAATGTTTATTTTTCTGTTTTCTTTTCCTTATCCTAACATATAGGGATTTGCCAAGGTTAAGGTAAGAAACAGAATGATTTTTCCCCACTGTAAATTAGGATCTCAATAAAATCAGGTACTTATTGGAAAGAAGAGAATGAAGATCCTGAGATTGAAGAGTCACTATTCAGTGGTCATCTTGAGCCCATGCCCTCTCAAGTTCTCTGGTGTTTGCAAGGTAAGACATAATACTAGTAGGCTTCTCTAAGGCAACTCATAAGGAGATATCACAAGCCCAGAGGAGCAGACTCCCTCTCCTCTCTGTCAGGAAAACAATAGGATAGAAAGTAATAACGTAGCCAGTTGGGCATGCACAGAGATGCCCTTTAAGGGGGTGAGTGTGGGCCAGTGCTCCCACAGCAAACCCATATATCTAACTGAACATGGCCTGGAATTGTGGGCCAGAACCCTGCAGAGGCTTAGAGAGGCGGCTTTCAGACAGCACCCCTGCAGCAAGACTTTTTTTTTTTCCCTAGCTCAGAATTTTCAACTGGGACACTGAAGTAATACTTTGGTTTCTTCTACTTTAAAATTCTATAGCTCTATTTTATGACTAAGCTGATGGCTGGAGTTTGGGAAGATTAGAGATATTGCTCTAAGGTCTGACACCTTTCCTTCTCTGTTTACTAAATGAAAGAGGTTGAATATGGAAAGAGATATACTCTTTCCCTTAACTAAGGGTAAACCCCAGAATTCAAGCATTCTTCCCTGTATTCATGGCTCTGTGATGAAACACACAAAGGTGTGTCTGTATTAATTAAACAACAAATGAGGTGCAGTAGGTTCTGTGATGCACTTCAATGCCAATGGGCCAACCATGGTTGTTTAGTGTCCTGTGTTGAGGAGGAATCTGAAGTCAAGTTGGGCTCAGCATAGCAATGTTGGCCAAGGTCATTGAATAAGATAAAAACAACATGTGTGTTTGTATGTCGCGACCTCTAGTATAACAAGAACAGAGACTTGAAACTCTGGCTCTGTCACTATTTTAATGACTAACCTTGGGCAAAGTTTGTTCCCTTTCCGGGCATTAGTGTTTTTTTCATTTTGTTTTGTTTTTTATCTGTTAAATAAAGGGTTTGGATTAGAAAAGCTGAGGGCTCACTCAGCTTGGAATATACAGGATAGATGACTGGATTTTGGCACACTTTCTAGTTCCTACTGGTCAACCCATTAGGTCTTATCTGTAAGAATCCCTTCAACTGCTTCATTACCTTAGAAAAACTTCAGTTTTACAAGAAATTGCAATAATTATTTCCAAAGTAGTTGTGCCATTTTACATTTTATGACTTAGCAATCTCAGTCCTGGAAATGTATTCAAGTTTAAAAATATATATATGTGTCCACAAACAAACAAAATGTTCATAGCAGTATATTCATAACTGCCCCAAACTGAAAAGAGCCTAGGAGGATTCATCAATAGAAAAATGAATTAAAAAGTCATAGTATATTCATACAATGAACACAAAAGAACAAATGCTGATATCCACAACAGTATATATGAATCCAAAAACCATAAGAATCAAAAGAAGCCTTACATAAAAGAATTCATATGGTATGATTATATCCATGTAAAGTTCTAGAACAGGCAAAACTATTCTATGATGAAAAAATAGTGGTTGGTTCTGGAGATTGGGGGTGGGAATTGATTGAGACTAGGCATGAGAGAACGTTCAGAAGTGACAGTAACACTACATATTTTGATGGGGAAGAAGTGTAAATAAATATTGAATTTTTGTTAATGATTTGCAAGCCAAACCATTTGGGACAAAGTATATAAGTGTCTGAAGTTTACTTTGAGATGGATCAAAAAATAAATATCAATTGATGATGGATAGAGGGATGGACAGATAGATAGGTGTGATCAAACAAGCATAGTAAATGTTAACAGTAGACTACAGGTAGTGGGTATATGGATATTCACTGTAAAATCCTTTCAGCTTTAGAGCATGTTTGAAGTTTTCAATAAAAATTGTTGGGAAAGAAACAAAACAAAAAAGGAATCGATGTGTTTTTATTTTTCTTGATTCCATGAATGACCTCTCTTGGGCCATGACCTTCCATTTTGGTGATTGCCCTCAGCTGTCTCTTATCTCTTCCCACCTCGTACACCATGTTTTTAGTTATCCCTTGGCAGTTAGTTCTTTAGGGAACCTTCACTACTTCCATGTCACCTTCTACAGCTCTCAGTGGCCTAGGTGGCCACCTGTCCTTTCCCTGCACACTCTGCTCATCTTATACTCAGTGGTTGGTGCTGGGATGACCAATGACATCCCTTTCTGAGGGGACTGGAATTCATCTTGTCCCAGATTTGATCTTCTCTCCATCTAGCTGTTTCTCTAGGAGAACCACAGGCCAGAGACACAGGGTGGCAGGACACGGAAATGTCATCTGAGGTGGGAAGGAGTGTGCTATCAGACCAGCCAGTCAGGGATCTGAGCCACAGCAAATAAACTGTGCTGAATGGTAATATTTGGTCTCCGGGTGGCAGGCTATAGGTTTCTGTCCTGGGGAGATGGCAGAAGCTAATTTTGTTCTTAAAATTGCTTTTGTTTTTCATCAGCTATTATGACAGCATGGCTAATATCACCTTCCTTGAAAAGGTGGCACACTCAAAAGGATCCTTGAGTTCTTTCTTTGCTACCGATATCTAGTGAACAATGCTAAATGAAATCAAGTATTTTAAGGTTCATTTACAAAATCTATTAGGCAAGCAGATACATTTATTAAGCCAGACCTCTGTTAATCCCAGCAAATTAGCCTTTCAGAGCCCCACCAATCCAACAGGTGGCCAACTGACTTTGTCTCTGTGCTTTGTCCAAGCTGCAGGGCCAGCCCACATGGAAGCTCCTTAGAACACTGTATTTTGTCGTGTATACTGCACACATTTTTGCCCAAATTTGTGAGGGTAAAATAAGGATGCATATTATACATAGTACTAATTCCGTATCTACATAAATGTTTTTAATTCTTTTATTTATTATTATGAGTTAAAAGTATAATAATAAATAAATAAATGCAAACATTCCTTTATAATACAAAAAAAACCACCCCAACAAAACAAGTACCTAAATATAAACAAATAAAAATTTGAATTAAAACATTAAAATGAAAGCCTTTTTCCCCTGAAAGTTTGGGCCAAAAACGTAGGTGCACATTATACATGACAAAATACGGTGATATCTCACACCCTGCCTAGGCTTTGGAGTACAATCTGTTACACAGAGACTCCCTCATGTGCAATAGATTACTGAGCCCAGCAAGAAATCGACAAAGCTCTGAGTGATAATTTGGTTGTGATATTTTCACTTGATCAATGGAGCAGGGAACTTCAGGGCAATCTTTGGATGTAGCCTACACCAGTTTGCCAGGCACAGTAAGTCAAGTCATTACTGAATATTATAAAATCTGCACAATTTAAATATATACCTTGGTGAAAACTGCTATTCCCAAATTGGACAGACTATGCAATCAATATTCTTGCCTTAATTAAAACCTTCATCAGATTATATAGTAATGTGTGAAAAGGGCTTATCATATAAAGTGGAAAAGGCAGAATATATAATTTGGATATACTATGATTAGAACTATGCAAAAGCTCTAAAATACACACTAAGAATATTTTGAAAGAAATAAAGCAAAATAGTATGTATAGACTATTATCTGTGACTCTGTGGCTAATGTGAAAATTCACAGCCAGGAAAAAAGAAGTACACACAAACATACACACACACACACACACACACACACACACACACACACACACACACACACACTTCAGAAATATCTCAGAGTCTAAAGTATTACTGTCCATGAATTTGGTTCTATCTTTCATCATTCTATCCTAAATCTGAGTGTCTGTGACAAAATNACACACACACACACACACACACACACACACACACACACACACACACACGGAAACTCTTCAGAAATATCTCAGAGTCTAAAGTATTACTGTCCATGAATTTGGTTCTATCTTTCATCATTCTATCCTAAATCTGAGTGTCTGTGACAAAATAAAAAGCATCTATTTATGTCATTCAAAGCCAACTGTCATCTCTCCTTCTCACCATTCATTTTTTTTCCTCTGGTTTCTGCTTAAGAGAAATGTCTGCTTCGTCTGAATCAGTCTACACAGACCATAACCATGCCCAAAGCCTTATCATTACACACAAAAATCCATCACGCTCCTCTCTGCCTCAGCTCTACTGCTCACTCAATGCTGGCTTAGGTCTGACTTCATTCAGGATGCTTCCCATGACCAATAATGTTTGCATCCATCATCCTCTAGGCTGCTGGACTGGGCCAGTAAGATGACATTCCTTAGTATAGTACCTTAGAGTATCTATTACCTTATAAAATCTAGCTTTGGAGGTTAACTTCGTATTCCCAAATAGATTGTATTTCTTGAAGGCAACAACTGGGATGTACACTGCTTTGTATTGCTCACAACACTTCGCACAAAACACAGGCTCTTGAAAAAGATCCATGGAGGTACTGATGCAATTTCACACCTTCCGTGATAGGTTTGTAGGTGCAGGGACCTATAGCTGCAGTTCAGGAATGCTTGTTCTCTTCTATTTACTTATTTCTCACACTTGCACACCAACCATTGTATGTGTGTTCATTGTGCCTTCTATGTGGAATGTAATTTCCTCGAATGTAGGGGCAATGTCATGTGTGTTCTTTTATCCCTAAGGGTACCACGCAGAGGGCTGAATATAAAGGGGGTGTTAATTGATTCTTACTAAGAGATTGATCCAATTCAACCACCTGGGTGAACCTGTCCAATTCACCTAGTCACAACACACACACACACACAGCCCACTGCCTTCCAAGGTTATTAACCTAAGTGTTTTCTCTATAAAATGGGGCCATCTCTCCTGTGTCAGTGATGATCTGATAATTAAATAAAATAATGTGTACGGAGAGTCTCACACAAAGCAGTATTAGGAATAAATGCTTAACATCGGTATCAACCCCTTTTACAGGTCAGTTAGCTAGTCAAAGGGTACCAAATAGCTCTAAAATCAGAGAGCTCACTACGACACCGAAAGACACTGACCGATCCATTTGCCAGTCAAATATGGTGCTCACCGGATCAGTTACTGGGTACGGAGGCCACCTTGATGTGTTTATAGCCCAGTGCTAGAAAAAAAGCACGGAAAATGTGTCTCTTTCAAGTGAACCAAGTAACCATTCTTAGAGGTGAGAGGGCAATAAATGGAACTGAGTCGGGCTTGGCACTGAGATCTACATAGATGCAAATGATGAGCAAGCACAGCAGCGCCTGATATTCTCAAGTGCCTGCATGTGTTCTGAGAGTACCTTTTTTTAAACTTAATCCTTAAAGCAATATTAGAGTATAGTTACTACTATTATTCCGACGTTACAATGAACAAAATTGAGGCCCAGAGAAATTACATGATTTGACAGAAAGCGTTCAGCCAAGAAGAATCTGAGCCTGGATCCTAACCCAAGTGTGTCTTATTTCAAAACTACTTTATTCGAATGGCTCTCATGTGTTGTCATTCCTTGGTTTTTGGGGGAACGAAAAACAACTAGTAAACCTTTGAGGTCTGGGTAGTTGTGTAGCACTTTATGCTCAAGTTTATAGATGGAAAATTCCTAACCAAAGGAATACATCAGGTCATCATCAATGAAAAAAAATAATAAATCCATAATGCCCTTCTGTAATTTTAAAATGCCCCTCTCATAATATGATATAATATAGATTAGATAGATGGATATTTCAAATAATCACTCAATGTTCATGGATTAGATATTAGTACCCTTGCTTTAGAGAAAAGAACACTGAGACTCAGATCAGGTGATCTGTTCAAGCTAACACAGATAATCATTAGAGAAATAAAAACTAGATTCCTCAAACCCTGTATCCATTTTCTGTTTATTTATCAAATATTTATTAGATACTGTCTGGTGTATCAGGCCTTAAAATGAGCACTCAAAGGAAAAAAAAAAAAAGGTGCTGTAGAGAAACATCATGCCTTCGGTTCCCTGCTGGCTGCTGAGTAAATCATTGTGTTGATAACAGCCAAGAACTGCCCCCTTGCTCTCAATCGTTTCTCAGTAAAAATCATCAGCGAGCACTAACAGCCAACACTTCACATCATCAGCGAAGAAACGAACTTAAAATCCCTCCTGATTACTTTCTCTCTTCAAATGAGCTTCTCTTTTCCCTTCACCGTGTCTGTCTGCTAGCTTTTGAGGCAGGAATTTAGGGTCTGTAATCTCTAGGTGACAGAGGTGCAGCTAAAGCATCCTGGGCCAGGGGGCGTGGTAGATGGGAGTGAGGAGACCAGGATTTCAATTTAGACTACAATTAACCAGCTGTTAGATCCTGGAGTGCTCATCTCACACAGGGAGTTTCACTCCTCTAATGTGCCAAAGGGGATCTTATTAAAAACCTCCCTACCCATTGCCCTGGTGAGTAATAATCCCAGAGACGCATCAGTACAAGACAAGGATCTGAAAGTGGATAGCATGGAACCTGCAAACAGAAAAGGGGCCCTTGGGTCCATGAATCTAGTTTTATCTTTTATCAATCCATCCTAACTCACATTTTTTAGGACAAAATAAAACGTATCCATTTAGTGAGTACCTAGTATGTCCCAGGGAGATGCATGTTATCTTATTTAGTTTTCACGACAATCAAGATGACATAGATATTCTTTTCAGTTTGCAGTGGAGTGAATTCAACATCAGGTCAAATGTTTTGATCAAGCTCCCAGGGCCAGCTGTGAGCATGTGTAAGCCCTGGAAACCTAACCCATGTCTCTCAGATTCCTAAGCCCTGTTCTCTCCATCACATGCTGCCTCCCTTCCTAAAACAGAGCAGGGATGAACCATCTCCCACATTTATCGTGCAGCAGCCCAAGTTCTCTTTGCTCGTCTCAAAACTAGCAAACAAAACCAGGATTGTTCCATCCATGTTTTAGAGAAATTACTACACCAGTAACTGAGTATATTTATCAGCCTTTATATAGGTATTCAGCATTTCCAAGTCTGATATGATAAATTTCCTAAATTATTTAAAAAAAAATTAAAGGTCTCTCTAAGATGAGCAAGGCCAATCACATCAAGAATGAATAAGGGAAATGCAAAGACTAAAACAGGAACAGAGAAGAATACCAATCCCCTAAATTGAGGGACCCTCAGCCTAACTGCTTTCAGCTTCTACTATACAAGCACAGTCATTCTTGACACAAGTGTCACCATCACTAGTGGCTGGGGGCAGGGAGTATGTGCAAAGCCCAGAGTTTGGCCCTTTCAGTTCTTCTTTGCAACTTGGTAACATCAGCGCCATGCCCAAGAGGGAACCCTGGCCTTCATAAAGTACCTTGTCAGCCTTGATAAGAATTCTTTACACATCAATTCAGATTTTGCAGATGGGATTACCTAATCTCAGGGATGCTAAGTGACTTCCTTGATATTATATAGCTAGTGAGTGTAAAGGCCAGGATTAAAACATGGAGCAAAAGATGTTTTAGAAATACTGATTACAGGAGCAAGAACAACCCAATTTGTATAGTTTCTCAAAGTACTCCCTTCCGTAGAATTACCTAAATTTTCCCTATTATAAAATGAAGTTGGTGTAGGGAGGTATGTGGCATTCAATTATGTGGATTCAGAGCTTCATTAAGTACACCCTCTTGCCCACATCCCCAGTGTCTCTAACATCAATACAGAAGCTGGAGCCCAGGAGCGCTCAGTACAGATCTAATCAGACAGCGAGCAGAAAGGGCCGAACCTTCGTGCTGTTGCCGAACCACCAGAAATAGGTGAGCGTCCCCAGCTGACTGGGCCACACGACTGCACTGATGTTGACCTCCTTATTCCTGATGGCGACAAAGGGAACTCGGAGATGGACATGCTCCACAGGACCTAAAGGAACAAGGAAAAACAATTTCAGCGTTTCAATTCCTGGAATAAACAGTCAGATTCTTAATCTTAATCCCTTTGACCATCACCTGTAATAAAGCAAGGCTTATAACCTCACAGATGTTGAGAGCGAGAGAGTGAGGTGTGTGTGTGTGTGTGTGTGTGTGTGTGTGTGTGTGTGTGTGCGCGCGCTTGAAATAAAGCACCATGTATAACAGGGAAATCAGATCAGACTTCAGCTTTTTTGAGTGACATTTGAACTTAATTTAACATCTGATGAGCCAAACCACAAATGCTTATGAAACTCCAGTCCAAGGACAAAGCTAGTTTACTAGAGGCTTAGCCAATAAATAGGAAGGTAAACAGCAGGCTCTTTCATTTCTGACGATGAAGCTGGATTGTGATTTGGGGTCAATGCACTGAATGCAGAGCTCTTCCGTTATCCTCAGTGGTTAGTTGGTTCCATCCTCTTTAACCCTCAGCCACTGTGCCTTGCGTGGGCGGTACCCAGTGGGTGTCATTCAGAAGCTGGCAAGGCTATTTCACAAAAAAAAAAAAAGGGAAAAAGTGCATCTCCCTAAACTGAAGGAGAAACAAATGCCAGGTTCCCAGATAATCAAAAAGCTGTTTCTAAAAAGGTGAGCAAACATTTCTTCTTTTTTTTTTCTCAGAAAATGTATATAAGCAACATCAAGTTCTAAAGTAGCAGGTAAGGGAGTATACAGGAACATACTCTACGAATAGCAAGCGAGGATTTTAACTTAATTCATTTCCAAAATAGAGTGAGAAGAAGGAAGTGTTACTATGTCAGTGTCGCATCTGTGCGATGGATAATGTTATTCATTAACTCTCTGTGGGTTTTCTCCCCACCTCCACCCCTTCCTCTTTCCTTCTCCATTTATCTTTCCTCCTTCCCTTCTTTCCTTCCTCCTTACTTTCGCCTTTTCTGTCTTTGCTTTCCTCCTTTCTCCTCCTTTCCCTTCTTTATATCTTTCCTACTTAATCAAATCAAATTAAAATACTCTAATTATCTGTTCACACTAAGAGCACGTTTTCCTGGTTTCCACTGTGATAGTTTGATGAGAGGAAGTGACTAACAGTCACAACTACAGCAAGGACATCTCTTTAGCCTGGGGGGTCTTGAGTTCCTTTCACTGGTGGGAGATTTTTCAGGCCACCCAGCCATTGCCATCTGCATCCTTGGCCATTTTAAAGACAACTCAGTTTAAACTGAAGAGATGGCATGAAAACAGATGGATGCTCCTCATTTCGCCTCTGGTTCAAATTTAGCTACAGGATCTTTTCCTCTATCTTACAAAGCCTCGAGCCTACATAGACTGTTACAGTGTCCTGAAAATAAGGGACAACACTTCCCCTGCCTTCCTTATAGAAATGAGAACATACGGCAGTGATGTGTGGCTGCTAAAAGCACCATAGAGTTAGTTATGGATTGGCACTATTTCTACAATGACCTCCACAACCACCACAGCATCACTGATTCTGTGCATCGTTGGGTAGACTTCCCTCTGAGGACAGTAGGCATATATCTGGGCCTCACTGGACATATTCTGTACCACAGGTAAGTGTATATTGGGGGAGACGGGGTTCGAACATGGACTGGTGTCTGGGTGAGGAGACCAACCAGGCCTGCTTGCCACTCTCCATATTGTGCTTTTCTGAACAGTCAACAAGTCTTCAAGAACCTGTGTATCAGCTCTGTGACCTGATTCCAGGCATATGGCACCTCAAGATTTCTTCCAGCAAATAGTTTGAACCTTGCCACTTCAGATCCACATTTGGCTAAAGGCTTAATTATTTTCGATAAGGAAGCCTATTCAGTTATGTTTGTATGGTTCCATTGTTGATGAGAGTAAAAAACAAAAAACAAAACACAAGGTGTGAGAAAACACTGGCTACTTTCACTGCTTTATTGATTGATTTTTAGGAGTTTACTTGATTTATCTCCCTTTGTGGTTTGTGCTTTACTGATTAATGGAGAAGAGAATGAGGCAGCGTGAAGGCGTCCCTGGCCAGCCTAGGTCCAAGGAGGAAGATGAGAAGTCTGTTTCTTATATTAACACCTCAGAGTCTTTCTCCACACCTAGGTGTGGGACCTTTATCCTTCCTCTGCCGGGAAAGGGGTCTTTTTTACCCTCAAAGTCAATGTTCCCCTTCTCGTGGGAGAGTGGCCTGAAGGCCATTCCCTCCCTGGCCAGCTCATGGGAACCCTGCACTTTTCCACAGTGAAGGAATGAGGCCACTATGGCTGTGTTTCTGCAGATTCTTCTCAGCATGCTGTCACTCAGGGGCCAGGGCTCACACTGTCAGGTACGTGGATGCCCAAGAAGATGAAAGGAGACCTCTTTCTCCCTAAACTCCTACAAACACAAAATGGATGGAGTTCCCATGAATTGGAACTCCATCAAACATGGTCACATTTATTCCAGCTTCAGGATCAGCATCTTTGGGTAAATATTGGGTCACCGGGAAAGTCATGATGTATTTTTCTATGTTTTTCAATGCAAAAATGAGTCATGACTTTCCCAGCGACCCAGTGGAATCTCAAGGAACAACAACATGTTAGTAGCTTCTTAGGGCAAATAGCCTAGGCCAGAGGCTTCAGGCTTTACCCTAGAGATAGACTATGGATTAGGGAGAAGAGAGCTCTAACGGGATTCAAGGGAGAACACAGCAAACCCCTAAAATCCTCACTGTCAAGTAGTGCTCTTTTTTGATAAAAAATCTAATAATCTGTGCGAGATTGGTTATTATGGGCGGCTAACAACTACTTTTGTTAGCTAATGGCCCAAGGTGAGGCCAAGAGCAGTTTCCACTATAATAACTGTCTGGTAAATGCAGCCATGATTGATTTGGAGGGAATTATGAGCACGATAAAAGTTTCAAGGAACATTTCCTCCTTCATGCACATAACCCACAGTATAAGCCTGTTCCCTGCTGTTGTGTTTTTGCCACTAAGACACAGCCTTTGCACCCTGCAGGCAAGGCCCACTCCTGTCAAAATTGGGAACATGAATGGGGACAGGTCCTTGGGATAGAGAAAAGTAATTTTTTTTTCTTGTCTTCATTTTCAAATGCAGCAGAAGCGTCAGGGAGTCCTTTGTACAGTTGACCTTACACGTGGATCTTCTTCAATAAATATGTACCATGCTGTAAATATATTTTCTCTTCCTTATATTTTAATAACATTTTCATTTTCTCTTACATTTTGTTGTAAGAATACAGTATATAATACATATCACATACAGAATACGTGTTGATCAACTGTTCATGTTATCAGTAAGGCTTCTGGTCAACAGTAGGTATTTGTAGTTAAGTTTCTGGAGAGTCCAAAGTTATTCATGGATTTTCAAAAGCAGTGGGTGGGTACCACAACCCCCGTGTTGTTCAAGGGTCAACTCTAATTATCATAACAGGTAACATTTATCATGGGCTAAACTGGGTGCTAAGTGGCATTTTGCACACTGTGCGGAAAAACTATTAACACAGACCTGAAACTGCCATCCTTTGAAAGATCTGTGTACAAGATTGGCCCTTGACTAGCATCTGGGAACTCGGCTCTGGGGGTGTTTCCATCCAATAGTTAACTGTTAAGAATGGTTCATTCTGTCTACAATATGGTTTATTCTGAACACCTGCTTTCCTCTGGGAGTCTGGACCTTTGGTTTATGTTAGACAGAGGATGCCTACTTCATGAGAATTCAATAAAAATCATGGCACTGAGTCTCCAATGAGTTTCTCTTGTAGACAGCCCTTCACACATGTTGCTACAACTCATTGTTAGAGGAATTAGGTGCATGCTGTGTGACTCCACAAGGAGAAGACTTGGAAGCTTGTGCCTGGCTTCCTCCAGACTTTGCTCCACCGACCTTCTACCTTGGGTGATCTTGCTCTGTTTCCTTTCTCTGTAATAAATTATAGTCATGAATCCAACTATAGACTGAGTCCTGTGAGTCTTTCTAGAGAGTTACCATGCCTGGGGTGATATTCGGGGTCCCTGACACACATAAATAATCTAATTTGATCCTCACAGACTTCCCCCCGCCCCCTTGCTCTGAACCCTGGGCACATGAACACCCTGTGCACCACCCACCTGGTGCTGCTTCTGGCCCAGAACGATTAGAGTTGGTGGGGTGTGATGATCACCACCTGGGCCATCGATGGCCCATTTCTAACAGCAGCCCACCTTCTCCACCAGAATGTAAACTCTGCAAGGGTAGGGCTATATCTGTATTGTTGCCTCCCCAGCGCCTAGCAGAGTGCCTTGCATATATTAAGAACTCAACATATCAGTGAAATCATACGGTTCTCGACTTTTTCTGTCTGACTTATTTTGCTTAGCATAATAATCTCAAGATCCATTCATGTTGTCCCAATAAGCTTTAATAAAAAGGAAAAAAAAAAAAAGAACTCAGCAAATATATGTTAAATAAATTAGTGAATGATTAGGTGCTTCATTTATGTTTCCTATTTACTGTTACAAGAGCCATGTGAGGCAGGGTACCAGTTAGAATTAAGCCATTTTAAAATTGGAGTTCAGAAGACTGAGTGATGAAATAACTTACCTCACAGCCACATAGCCTGGCAACCATAGGAATATAACAGATCTATAATCCAGGTCTCCTCCTATGTACTTCCCCTATCACTGTTGGTCCTTGTGCTACTGTTGTGACTGGAATGTTTGGACACTAGCTAGATTACTGTTTGCCAGGGACTTCTTAAATGTGGATTGTTTATAAGGTACAGTTTATATCATCACTGAGTTATTAATAGGAAAGGTGCTCCTTGTATCCCCTTAGACTCTCTTAAAACATACAATTTTTACCATATACTCCATAGCATATTATCCAAAAAATAACACTGTGGGGTATTTAAGTACGAACCACAGAAGTCCTTAGACACATGAGTCTCACTGACAGAGGTTTAGGAAACCAATACCAGCCCCATAACACCATCTCCCTGACTCAACGTTCTAAAACCATAATTAAGTTTCAATTTACATGAGTGTCAAGTCCCAGAATAGTAAATACACAAAATGCATCCAGTACAAACAAAATATTCAGAACTTCAGCTGTTGCTTTGCTTTGTGCAAAGCAATAGCCAATAGCAATGAAATACATTCTAGGACAGCCAAAACATTTTGGCGAGTTCTTAGAATTGTTTGCAATGCAAATCGACTTGCAGTACCCTTAGATGTAAGAATTAAGATCTCTTGTGTGTTCAGTTCTACATTTAAAAATATCTAAACATGTATTTCTTTAATCATTCTTTGGCTCTTCCAACAGAGACAACAAAGGGAAGGGATTTTCACCTCAATGTGTGTCTGCATGTGCACACTTGCATCTGAACAGAATGGAGCTGACAAAAAGGGGCCAGGTGGTAATGTGTTATCCAAACTTTCAAAATAATCAATCTACTTCAGTATCATGAAACTCAGAAATACAGATGAGCACGCATCTCAATCTTTTGATTTGGGTCCTCATCTAGGGTAGTGGTCACACCAAGTCCAGTCTCAGCTCTAAATTCCAGGAAGTCTGGACAGAGGGAGTTGTCAACTGGGAGGAACATAAGAAAAGGGATAGCTCCTGCTACTTACAAACCACATGCAGGAAGAGGACAGCTGTGTCTGAGCCCAGGTTGTTCTCCGCATAAGCCATCACCTGGAAGATTCCTGCACTCTTGTACACATGTTTGATGCCATCCTCAATGGGGCTGAAGTTAGCGTAGGACACAGCAATACCATCGCCAAAGTCAAGCTGGATGTTTGTCCTTTGGAGATCACCCTGCAAAAGGGAAGAACAGTTGGCCTGAGCCCATTCGCATGGTTCAGCTTGACTCCTGTCTGATGCTTCGTCCTGTGCCTCCAGCATCACCCTCTGAGGACCAAAGTCTCTCCCAGGGGGCTAAAACATCCTCAAAACAATCATCAGACTCCTGTCTAATATCCACTGGGCACCATGGCCAGGCACGACAGACCTATTGTCCCTGTATTCCCAAACCTGGGCAGACTCAGTTGATGTCACACTGGCAGTAAAGGGGAAGGTAGAGACTCTATGAAACTCTAAGTGGGAAAGCCCCGGGCTCCCCTGGTTCTCTCATGTATGGTTTAATTATTCCTCTCTTGTGTCATAATAATAACAATAGCAATAATAATAAGAGCTTACACTCATCGTTTCTGAAATTTCTGTTCCAAGCATTTAACTTCCTCACAGCTCTATAATGTAGAAAATATTACTGTCACCATTTTACAAATGGGGACAAAAGTAAAGTAATTAGGCCAAAGTCTTGCAGCTAGTAGTACGAGAGCCAAGTTTTGAACCTAGGCAGTCTGGTTTTTAATACTAATATCCTCAATCACCGTACTATAATTATAATTGTTTTTATTTTGTAGTATTTATTGTTATATTCCAAGAATTATGCTAATCATTTAACACATTATATAATACCATCTTCAGAATAACTCTGCAGGGTAGGGTGATTATTCCCATTCTACAGGTGAACACTGCATACCAGCCAAGATTACATCTCAGTGCTCTGTTGACCTTGGATTTCTGTAAACCTACCTAAGTCCCCTCTTCCCTGAAGTTTTTTCTGACCTCTTCCTCTTAGAAGGCCAAGAGACCTGGTAATGTGATATCAATGGTTCAGGTGAGTGCATGTTACCACCCCAAGCCAATACTCAGCTTCTTAAGGGCCAATACTGAACCCCATCCTTCTTTGCCCTTCCCCCCTCACTATGATGAACCAACACTTTGGATAAATGCAATTGAACCTGGTCACAAAATAAGGATACCAGGTGAAAAAGAAGAATCAGCTCACTCTGTTTATATACAAAGATGGTTGATGGATTGAAAAGAGAAATACATCATTTTGGAATCATGAGCCAATCCTTCTGCCCAGTGAATGTGCATCGATCATAGTTTCGCTTTCTGTCTCTTCCTCCATGGCAACCCGGGTGTGAGTGAAATATTGATAGCTGCTCCCTTGCCCCACATACAATGTCAACTACCTTTGAGTTTATGAATATAAATTAAAGTGGAAATGAACTGGAGGCAATTCAAATGGATAAGATCATGGCTCTTCATATCCATTCAAGAGAAGGTTTTCATAACGCTGGTCCTGGAAACTCCCTAGTGGAAATGTGATAATGACCTTTTCTGAATCTGAAAGTTTTTTTTTTTTTTTTTTTAATTCAAGTGCCCAGTGTAGGTGAAGGCTGAAGAATCTGTCACCCCAGGATAAGGAACTTTCACCATCCTGTATAATATGGGCCTGGCTTTAAAGGTTTCTAAAATATTCACCCTTGGGGAAAAATCTCCTGATTGGCTTTGGTATCTTTCCAAACTCGGAAGAGCACAGAATAATCTGCATATAAATTTGAGGGCTCTGTAAATCAGGCAAACCTTCTTGTCCCACAGCATCAGCAAGGAGTGCCTGAAAACCCCTCTGATTTTGGTAAAAGATGAAACAGCTCATATAGGGAGCAAGAGGCATACAGCAGAGCTATTTCCATCCTGGAATGAATAAATGAATACAGTCTGATTTTATTGCCCAGGTACAGAAGGCACTAAAACGTGAACTAATGGAGCAGCTAGCTCATGGAAAAGCAACTAATAAGACAGTCTTCGTAAAGATAAGTCAAAAGGATTTCAATAATCTCCCCCGTCTGCACACTCATAGTTTCAAGACCCTTTGAAAGCCTTGTGGGCTTTTTAATCAGTGGGGTTAAAGGTTAGAATAAAGCAAAACAGGCTCCTGAAAGCAATAGATAAAATTTGCATTTCACTTCTTCTGGCAAAGTTCAAAGTATATGGTCTTATGGTGATAAACATTCCTTCAACAAAGCAGAGCCTAAAGGGAAACCTCAAAGAATATATCTAGATCTGTTCTGCCAGAGACAAGTGGGCCCAGCTGCAGACTGAGTCTGAGTCTGTGTCATGGGATGAAAGAAAGAAGGTCTCTCAACACCCCAAACCCTCTTTCCCTCCTTCTATGTTCTCCCAGAAGTCTCAGCTTCTCAACATTGACTTTGGGGCAGGGACCCGAATACACCATATTTTTTTCTTCCCTCCAAGAGAACAGGGAATGACCTGCTTGTGAGTTCTGACCTCAAAGACCCAAGCCAGCACCTACCTCCTCCATGAGAATGATAAAGGTCGCATTGTGCCCCTGCTCTGCCACCAGGCGTCCGTCGGTTGTCACCACGTGGAGGCCCCGAGGGGCTTTTCCAGGGCACATCTGGGCCTTTGCGGTGTACTTCTCCCTCAGCCCGTCTGTGCAGTTGTTGGACACAATCCGCCGGTACCTAAGGAGTGTTGACCATTGTCAGTGGTGCAGGTCGTGTGGTTTGTGCCGTACGTGCGTGTGTTAGGAAGACAGGGCAAGGGAGCAGGAGCAGCACAGATACTTCACACAGCTGCTCCTAAAAACTGAGTCTCAAAGAAGACAGCCATTTAGGGAGCTAAACAAATGCTGAGGAACCGCTATCCTGCACCTCAGGAAGAGTAGCTCTTTAAACATTATTATTGATCCTACCTGGTGAGCCACGGATCGCATCAGTGTCTAAACCAGCCAAGAAAAATCAATGTCTGACTCACATACAAGATGGGAGGAGGCAGACCCACGGACTCGGGGAGCAAGGAAAGCAGGTGCTTCTCTCTGAGGGAGTCTTATTTCTAGTTGGGGAGGCCATCCCCAGCTTTCTCTGTGCCAGAAAGCAGCCAGAAGATGAGACTTCTAACTCTAATTTATCAAGAAGTCTCTTTCTCTCTTCCCTCCATTCCCAGGACATCATTCAATACCTAGTACCTAACAGTCCTGACTCTGGAGCCACGGGGATACTTTATGGCCTATTTTCTCTCTGTGTTAATGTTTCATTTCCTACTCAACACAAATGCCAGATCAGAAGCACAAGTTTGAAACTCCTGTGCAACCCAGCTGAGGTAAAATTACCTCAGGGAAGAAATCAGCGTGGGGAAACCTCCCACAAGGTGCTGTGACCTTCCAGAACAAGGGCATCTTTGTGTACATCACCTCGCTTGACCACCGACCCCAGCATGTGAAGCTAAGCCAAGAGCTTGCCCACAGCCCTGACCTACGTGATGGACATTATTTCTAGGCACAGCACTATCTGTAAGGCTGCATAAAATCAACATTCTGGTAAAACCACATAAACTCAATGCACCACCACTATCGCAACCACCATCATCATTATCAGCACCAGCTTCATCATCTTCTTCTTCTTCTACTTCTTCTTCTTTCACCCTTTATATCAGGATTAATTTACTAGCCCATCCATGTTGCCTTCTTCTGGTGGTCTTGAAAGCACATGAAACCAGATTCTTTACGTGTGGCATTGGTCTTCCACTATACCTGATATTTCTCATGTCCCCTCCCCCCACCACACTGCTGATCTACTAGGTGTGCTTTCCATCTAGAGATCTCAGGAGGATGTTGAGCAAATGTCATGTGTTATTGTCTCAGATGGAATTACAGTATATCCTCTTGTAAATATACATTATTTTTAATTACCAACTGAGCTCATAATGGGTGGAGAGCTGTGCTGCCAAACATGCTAGCCATTTCCCACCTGTGCCTATTGAGCATTTAAAATGTGGTTAATGTTATATGTTGAAATGCCACGCAATGGCATATTGTGTGAATTGCAGATGATGCATTGGAGGTGAGACTGGAGCCAGCACACTTTAGTCCCTGGCTACTCAGAGTCCTGGAACCAGCAATGTTGATTTCATGTGGCAGCTTGTTAGAAATGAAGAACCTCAGTACCACCCAGATATCGCAAATCAGAAGCTGCATTTTAACATGATCCCCAGGTAAATCATAGCACATTAAAATTTGAAGTGATGCCACAAATGGCACTATTTCATCTTTTCTTGAGGCAGAATAGTATTCCATTGTGTATATATATATATATACATATATATATATATATAAGTATATATATATATATAATCTTCTTTATCCAATCATCTATCGAAGGACACTTCGGTTGTTTCCATGTCTTGGCCACCATAAATAAAGCTACCATGAACATCGGAGCACATATATCTTTACAGATAAATGTTTTCAGAATTTTTGGGTAGATGCCCAAGAGAGGGATTGCTGGGTCATATGGTAATTCTATTCTTAATTTTTTGAGGAACCTTCACACTGACTTCCATAGCGACTGCGCCAATTCCCACCAACAGTGTATGAGGGTTCCTTTTTCTCCACAGCCTCTCTAACACTTGTTATTATGTGTCTTGTTGATGATAGCTATTCTAACTGGTATGACGTGATATCTCACTGTGGTTTTTATTTGCATTTCTCTGATGTTGAGCATTTTTTCATATGTCTATTGGTCATTTATATGTCCTCTTTGGAGAAATGTCTATTCAGGTCTTCTGCTCATCTTTTAATTGGATTGTTTTTTTGTTGTTGAGTTGTATGAGTTCCTTATATATTTTGGATATTAGCCACTTATGGTAAGTGTTGTTTGCAAAAATCTTCTCCTATGCAACTTTACTAACAATTGTCACCCCAATAAACTTTAATTTTAAAAAAATTAAAGTGATGTCTTAGATGCCCCCCATCCCCTTTCCAAATCTGTCTGGGCCAAGGAAGTGGCCAAGGAAATGGGAAGGCAACAAATGTCAAAGAAAATTTTTTCAAGCATCTGAATAACTAATAAGTGAACAATGAGAGAGTCATACACATAATTTGACAATTACAGAAAGTGGGACTTGACCTTCTTAATCTAGGAATTCCTAGGATGGGGCTTTTGAATTTTCATTTTAAGTTTTCAGGATCAGTCTATGAGAGCTTCAGTTCACCTACCATTAGAGAACATTGTAATATCTACATACCATTTGTGTTAATTTATTTCCCTTAGGACCCAAGAAATAAGGAGGCATCTCTTTACAGAAGAGAAGGCCAAAACAATAGCCATGGTCTGTCAAATGGCAAAAATTATTGAAAATGGGTAATCAGAAACATATTCTGATGTTCCTAAAAAGGCTACTCTCAGCTAAAGAGAGCCTCAGTTTTCCTTAGAAATCACACAATAACAAACTGTATCTAGTGGGTTGTTGGAAAAGTCATGACGTATTTTTTTCTATATTTTTTGTTGCAAAAATGTGTCATGACTTTTCCGACAACCCAATATATTCCAACCTACTTCAATAGTAATGCTCCCTTTAATCCCAATTAAGGGAAACAGAAAAACAGTGAGTAGAGTTCCTTCAGGTATTTTACTTACCCAGTGCTGTTAAGGTAGCTTTGACCAAGGCTGCAGTCCTTTGATGGGGATGCTGGATTGTACCAGAAAGCTGGGACACACTGGCTCTCTCCGTGTCTCTCATAGCCATAGTCACTGTCCGGAAAGTGAATATTGCAAAGTGGTACAGATGCACAAATGCTAAAATACACACACACACACACACACACACACACACACACACACACACACACACACAAACACATCCCGAAAGCCATCCAAAGGGCTGCAACACAATCTTTAAAATATTCCCAGTGAGGGCAAAACTTCATACTTTGAGAATTTACTTTTAGGTTTAGAAATAATTCCAAGTCATTTTACAGTCCAGTCTATAAAAGAAATACTGGATTAGCAAATGGAGATTGTGGGTTAAAAAAGGTATGCATATATATAATGCAGCAGGCTCACTGGCTTGGGGTGGGTGTGATGGAGGCTATAAGCTTAAAATTATATTTTGGATCACAGTGAAATTACTGAAATAAGTAGATGACAACCAAGAAAATGACTTTAAAGGTCAAGATTCATCTCTGTGTTAAGATTCCACATGTGTTACTGAAAATTGGTTTCACTGATTTTATTTTCCTATTTCCTGCAAATTTTCTCTCAAATACATAGATACAGTTGCATTCAAGTATACACATATATAGTCATTCTAACTTCTCCCAACTACATATAACTCAGGTCCCCTGTTTCCCTAAACTAACAAAACAAAACAAGACAAACCCTAAACTGTAGCTCTTTTCCATGGTTTCATGAAAGCCTACCCATAATAAAATGAGGACAGAAAGTCAGGTTCCCGTCTCCTTTTCTGCTCCATTACAAAATGAGATACTAACAAACTAGGGTAGGAGATAACAGCCCCATCTGAAATCTAAATGATGTTTCCTTACTACTTGGAGCTTCATAGGCTCCCAGGTATGTAACTGTCAAGGTAGAAAAAGAAGCAATAAAGTATTACTGCTCTGTAACCAACCAGAGGTCACTGAGGGTGCCTTCGCTTGGCAGGAGGATTTATGCTTCTCAGTTAAGCATCCAAGGGTTTCCTGAAACCCACAGACTGTGCAGAGCAATCTGGACATTTGAATATCGATCCACGAAGTGTTAATGAAACATAAAACGGCAAAGGAAATCATTCTCTCTGAACCCACTCCTCCGTGTTTCTCTGCTCCCATATTCTTTGGGCCAAGATTTAATGAAAGTCCAGCAAAATCAGAGGCCAGTTGTCTAGGTGTGTAACTAGGGTAGGACTGAAAGGGAGGTAGGAATGATAGTTTAGTTCCACATTTCTGTATCACTCAATATGTGCCCTGTCCTGTGAGAGAAGTACAACAACCCCTATCCTCAAGGGGTTTTCAGTCTTTTGAAGACAGGGATACAATGAAAGAACAGGATAATATAGTATGAAGCAGTATATACTAAAGATGTACCAAGTGACTAATGACATTGTATAAATTATCTTCCCAGCATGACTCCACCCTCCCTTCCCACCATCTTCCTCCACACCAAACTCACATCTGCACACTCCAGGCCAACTTTTCAACCCTCTTTGCCTTTGTATGCGTTTGCCCTGGGTGTGGAGCACTCTATTGCCTTCTGTATTTGGTGGTTTCCTACATGTCCTTCCTCAATATCTAGGTCAGGTGAGACCATC